CCCCCCCCCCCCCCCGTACATTTCTATTGAATGGGATGAGCTACTGTTGAGTGAATTTTGTCAACTGTCAGCTCTAGCATGAAATACCTCAGGTCATACTCACCGATAGAAGGACCTTGATTGACTATATGATATTGATATTGACTATATGAAGGATTTCTTAAGTAACAACGCAGCGGTGCTTTCACACGCAAATATGCCTCGAGGAAAAGTCTTCAGCTTGTCTCTCTATATATTTTATCATTTTAGCACCTTCAGATACTTTTCTGCGTTTATCAGCAAAGTAAAATCATCCATTACTAAACAGGGTCGTACAACTGGCCCATGAAATACCCTCTTCAGCTATCAACCCTCCCAAATCTATCCAAAAAAGAAACCTAGTAAATTCTTCAGCAATCGCCTCGGGGCCGCGTCAGCGTAACCGCGGGAGGACTGGAACAAAACTCCGATTTTAGCCGACATTGTTCGGCAATAGCTTTCGTCTTGTTGCGAATAATTTGATTGGCTCGAGTTTTTCCGACCTTACCGTCGGTTACTGCCGATCGAAAATGGCGGGAAAAACGAGCCGCAGAGCGCGGGGATTCAAGTGCAAATATTTCCAGAGAGGAGGAAAACGGAATTCTATTCTTCAGTGTTCTAGACAGGTAACCATTAATTTTCTGTAATTTTTTTTAAGGGAAAAACATTTCGTCTAACAATTTACCATACCGTTCATTTTTCGCAAATAGATGTCCCTCCTCTGAATTTATATCCCGTTTTAGGAATACAAGTCTTCGAAGTACGGATTACCTAGAGATTCTCCTTAATTTAAATCTAGCGAACTGATTCCATGGCTTTTACAAGTAGCGAGGACGGCATTTTTCACTTTCTTCCGCCTCAAATTTCTCGCGAACAATAAGAGGACCTCAATTAAAAAAATACTAATACTAAAACCCCGCGCAATTAAAATACTCCGTGGAAAGAACTCTATTAGTGACATGCCGCAAACTTGGAATCTGCATATTTTAGGTTAAATAGTTTCGTGTCTTTTGTGTTTATTCCTTTATATAGCTTATTTATTCATTTTTTATCTTACTCTCGTACTTGTTATATATTTAGGAATAAGGCTATTACAACCTTACGTCATCAATGGTAAAACGCTGTCTTTACCAAAAAAACAGTTAACGCTGAATTTCATTAGCTTGTAACGTACGAAATTAAGCTTTAATTTGACTGACATCAAGAATCAAACTATCATTTATATCTACACAGAAGAGTAAACTGAAACCATCTCAGATGACTGTACCATTCAGTTACACGCAGTCTCCGTTTCTGTTTCATCACGTTCCAAATTCGCCATTTTTGTTGTCAACAAGGAGACCTGCGACACAATCACCAATCCCATTGGTTCCCGACGTCGAACTCGCGAGAAACAACAACTATTCTTCAAATGATGTACTTCGAAATGGTAAGCCTAAGTGTAAAGAAAAGTTCGAATCTGTGCAAATGCAAGAAAGTTTAAAGAAAGCCAAAGGAATTGTGGCAAGAGAACAACTCACCCTTCCCTACGCTCTTGGTGTTCCTCTTCATTAAATAAAGGAAGAAACGTTTGTACCTTTTTATACATTGGAACGAAACCAGCTGTCTTGCAAGCTAAGTTTTGCAATTGTTCTCTTTTCTTTTTCTGACAGGAACTTTTCTTTCTCCCACACCTGTAGTCCCATCAAATTCCAATCCAACAACACCACAAGCAACTCCAACCAGGATAAATGCTTCTTCTGATTCACAAAGAGGTAAACTCCAAACTTTCAAAATAAATTATTTTTTCTATATGGCAAGGTAGTCCTGAGTTAAATTGAAACCTTATGATTGGTTTCCACTCAGTCCTTGGTTTTGTTTGCAAAAGCCAATAAATTCAAGATAAACAAGTTTGGTCCAAGTGCCATGTAATAAACCACTTACTGACTGCACTTGTTCAAGCTGTACTGCCATGACCTCAGGCCAATATTCCTCAGTACAGTCCTCGCACATGGTTAGTGCAAAATTAGTAAAATTGATAGAGTCAGCAATAATTGAGCTCCTTTGTATTTACTATGAAAAAAAACAACCACAAGGAAAGGACAAGGGCTTGAAATATAGACCTTTGCATTGAACTGCACTCATGAAATGGTAAACACAGGGTAAGATCCATTGTAACTTCCATAGTTGTTAGTTTTACATCAAAATGTTACATCTTTCAAATCCCTGAGCAAAAATGGTTTTTAGCTTTTGCTTTTATTGCAGTGTCAAGTAGTTAAATTGTGTGGCTAATGGCTTCCACAAATTTTAAGTTCATCATTTGAGTACTCTTATGGGCACATGCACTGGGTCAAAAGTTTAGTTTAGATCTTTTTGGGCAAGAGTTAACCACCGAACTGTGACATGAGAAAGAAGTACCCTTGCATTTTTTCCAGAACAAGTTGTTCCACATTTCTCTCCCATGATGGAAAATAAATCACTTAACAGAAAGGAAAGGAGGCTGGATATGTCACCAAAGCAGGGTACAGTTCCAGAGATTAACCTGTTTTCAGGGGAAGAAATATTTGCTTGATGGCCATCCTGACCCTTCACACATCTCCCAATTGTACCTTGTGAAAAACAATTTTTAACATCGAGATCAGGATATTGTATGGTTCTTAGCTTTAAAACAAATCAACATTAAATTTGGTTTTACTCAACTAAATCTGAGGTTAGATATTGCATGCATATTTACAAAAATTTTGTTGAATGTACAGTTCAGTCAGAGTTTTGGATGTACATTATGCAACAGTAAGTTATACAATGTTGGGCATTAGATAAAGAAGTTTGAATGAGTAACAACTGCACTTTCATGAAAACCTAAAATTTGGAATGTAATGGTAATCATTCAAACTTGTTTTTATGAATTAGCCTCTATTCCAACTAACAAAAACAGAAAATTGGGGCAAACATAATGTAAAATATTTATGCACACCGTCAATAAATTATCTTTAATTCCAACTTTATTTGGTGCATTGCAGCACATACTTTGGTATTACAAATACAATTAGTTGAAGTTCTTGGATATTTTTGTTACAGACTTTTATGAGTAACTTTTTTAAACACAGTGTACTGAATATATTTCCCACAAATTGTGCAGCTATAAATAATTTTAATGAATTGTTGAATAAATTACCCACAAAAAGAACTGTTTGAAGTATTAAATTTCTATTTATAATTTCTAATATCAATATTTCTTGAGCTAGCAATTAAAGATTCATGCTTTATCTGAGAGAAAACATCCAGGAATATAAACAAAAACAAACTGAAAAAACTTGACCTAGAACTAATAAAGAGCAATGGAAAATGATAAAGCACTGTGCATTAAAACTTTGACCATTGTGTCAATGAGTTAATTACTACAGTGTATTAGTCCAATTAAATATTGCATTCTACCTAATTAGATACTAGATTTCCTGAGTTTCCAAGTGTGTTTAATACCAGCAGACATCAGTGGAGTCACATGTTTGAAATTGAGAAGATAGCCAAACTGTTCAAGCCATGTTCCCTACTCAGTTTTCTGTTTTCTCTTCTTCTCTTCGAGTGCTTTCTCATAATTTTCTTTGGCAACTGCAATGCGTACCCACTTGGGTTTTTCAGACACCAAACATCTTGCAATTACAGCACACAGTATCAAGAAATGCTCAATGCAAAACACAATAGCCACAACATACCTGAAAAATGAAAACAAATTGAGATTGCCAAGTGCAAATTAATAATATTAATACAGAAAACAATGGGAAATGTTATGTGTTTCTTATGATCTCATTTATCCTACTTACCTTCCATATCCAGAAACAATGAACTGATCATTGTCAATGGTCTCATACATCCAGGGACACCAAATAGCAAGTTGTTCCGAAGAAAATCCAACAATTAAACTGTTTGTAAGCATGGAGAGGACCATCATCTGGTAAAGGACATTGTACCACACACCAATATTGGATACCCTGCGAAAGGACTTATAAATCTTAGCTTAGCAACCACACAGAGAATTCTAGGACAAGATATTGAGGACTTCTTTTTAATGACTTTTGAAGTGACCAAATAGAGAACTTTCTTCTCTTCCTGGATGAAATTATTCCTTGCCACACCACTCTTACATAACATTCACTCATACAGCGAACAATGTAGACAGCGAATGTGTTTAGGCATCTTTAAGCCTTTAACTCCCAAGATCTCATTAGTAATTCTCTTTACAGTCTGCCATACAATTCTTATGATGTCAATTTGGAGAATTTGGTATTGAATCAACTAATAATCCCCTAATTGATATTTTGCTTTATTCTCATAACTTCTATGCTGATATTGTTTTGATATTGTAAGGAGAAATTCTCTCCTGGTCACTCATGGGAGGTAAAGGGTTGATAAGGAAACAAGGAGCTCCTGGGGGACAGAAGGGACAAATGTCACTCAACAGCTGACCAGTTGCAGTACAGAGGCCTGGGGCTAATTCAAGTTATTTTGCAGGATAACAATAAATTGTTTTAGTCTTCATTAGTTTGAGCCAACAGACAAGTGAAAGACAGTTTGAATTTTGAGAATTTAGAAGTTCTGGGGTACTGTGTACATGTTCATGTTGACCTGCAAGGAACTAACCCTGGACATACCTTCTTACTCGTGGTCGTTGACACACATAAAGTAACTTGAACAAATCAGCCCTTCCCTCTATGAACAAGAACACGATGCTCACAACAGCAGCAAGTGGAAATGCAGAGGCAAACAGTGTCACATACTGGTGAACAAAAGAAATTGTTGATTGATTGCTATTGAAATTGCTGATACTTGAAGTATGCAGTACATATGTTGTATATGAACTTTGTAATGGGCCTTGCTCACCATAGAGTTTCTGCAGCTCAGTGGTAGAGCAGGGAACACAGAATTTGAACATCTGTGGTTAGATTCCTCATGGGGACTTTGTCCCACGCTTGAGATAAGACAAAAAACATCTTTCTCTATTTCTTTACCAAGCTCAAAACTTTCCCTCTTATTCTAATAAATTAATAAACATACTTGACTTAATTTTTCCATAATATGTAAAATTTAAAAGTCAGGAATCAGTGAACTATTGGAATTTAAAATATACTCTCCTTTTTCATGTTTTTTGTACAATTACCTAACTTTATAACCAGATTAATAATAAACTGCTAATTTGAAAAACTATACTTACCCCAAACTGTACAACCATTTCCAAATAATCATCAAACTGTTCATATTCCTCTAAAACAATGTCCCGCTGAGCCTATCATCAGAAAGATGTGCTAATTAAAATTAAGACCAGACAACCAGTAGACCAAAAATAAAATTAAAATGCAAGGAAAAATTAAATCTGAAGAAAACAATGCAACTTGTAGCTATGTTTGCATTATAAATGGTTGAACAGATCAGTGCATTCACCTGAGAAGGAATAAATGTTTTCTCTTCTGAATCCTTTTTGCTTTTAGCATAATCTCTCTGTATTTTCCATACATGACCTTTCTCTGTCAAATATGGGAGAATTGATTCTGTTACTAGGCGACGAATTTCATCACCTAAGACAAAAACAGAAAGGCAAAAAAGTTGGTGAATCTAAATATTGAATCAGTGGAAATACAACTGCAAATAATCCTCTTTTTGCTCAAATGACATTCCCAATTCCCCCCCACCCAAAAAAAAAAGGGGAATCCCAAAGGGGTATAACTTCACTCACACACTTACCCCAAAACAGTCCAACAAGTTCTCTCCTCAGAGCAACAACATTGAGCTGGTAGAATGCAATGTAGAAGAGAGGAAGGAAGCAGTCAAAGACCTCAAACAAGACCCGTTTTATTATAAGAGAGTTGTCCCAATCTTTTTCAGTCCTGTAAAAAACAAGAGAAAATTATAACAATTGAGTTCTTTCTGTAACAAAGTACAAAATTGTGTTCCATTGTGGAACAGAAAAATCACCCAAGATGAATAATCATTCTGTCCATTGCCATATCTATTGCTTAACCCTTTGCACCCTAATATCAGAATACATATTCTCCTTAGTGTTCTCTTGATACATTTCTGAGCTAACAAAGAGAATTCATTTCACAATCAAGAGATTCTTTAGTTGATCATTTCCTTTATTCTCATAACCTCAATGTGTGATTCATGGTGATACTGTGAGGAGATATCAGATGCCAATCACTCTTAGGTGTCAGAGGGTTATTTGCAAAAAGTAATTTAAATTCCTAGCACTTAATAAATAAACATCCTTTTCATCAAATTTCATTTATATCTCAATGTCTTAACCTTTTAAGTCCCAGTAGAGACCCAGACAGAATTTCTCCTTACACTATATGTATGATATCAAGCAGACATGTAATGAGAATAAAGAAAGATATCAACTAGGGGATTATTGGTTGATCCAATTTCAAATTCTCCAAACTAACATCACATGAATTGTATGACAGACAGTAGGGAGAATTACTGATGAAATCTTGGGAGTTAAAGGGTTAAACACCTGCCATTCCTTGTCCAGGTTGTAGAGAACAACTTGGCCATAATTTCTATTGCTTTAAATCATCTTATGCAGCTAAAGTTTTTTTTGTATATTTGTGTAATAATTTGAGAAAACAGGTTCAAACCATTACCTATGATTTTCCAGATCAGTACAAAAGTGTGCCACAGAACGGTACAGTTTGTTCAAAATATTGATAACCACTGAATGGCCAATTGTAGGGATCAGGTAACCATAGTACTTGTTATCAGCTGCAAAAATGTGGCCCTTATAATGATAATAATAATAAAAAAGAAATTATTAAATGATCAACAACAGTAAAACAAAAAAGGAGACTTATAGAGCACTTTTCATTCCACTCCCTCATACAAAGGCTAACCCTGAATACACCCTATTCTTCAAACTGTTTTCCAAACAGTTCCCATGGTATTGAAATGGAGAATTTGTTTAACAATCAAAGCTTATTAGGTTGGTGATCATTTCCTTTACTCTCATGACTCAACAGGTAGTATTACTTTTATATTTTATGAACATAAAGGAGAAATTAGAAGCTGGTCACTCTTAAGGTTAAAAGGTTTGAATACAGTCCATAACCTTTTTTTTTTTTATAGGAGTTTTTGTTACAGAAGCAATAAGAGATTACATTACAATAGTTAAAAAGATTTCTGGAGTTACCTTAAGTTAATTATAGGATGGGAAGTTTTCAGGATATTCAAGGTGCAACAGAGTGACAGAAAGCAGAAAATTCACAAAAGATCTACATGTACAGTTTTCACATTTTGCAGAAATGAATGAAAGAGGGAGGAATATATGAGAAGCCATGATAATTTAAGAGATTATATGAGAAGTCTGAATAATTTAATGTCAGACAAGGTTTCCATCGGCTAAGAAATTTAGTAACTGAGATTCAACAATTGTATGTACTTCAATTCTCAGATAAATATTAATAGCTGAGTAGTGTTAGTTTGAAATATGATGTTTTGAGCAGTGAATTTCCATATGCTAAATACAATTTATTTCCAAAGATCAAAATAGGATAATGTACTGTACACTCACTATCACTTACAACTAAGATAACTTGATATATATAAATTTAATAATGGGAAGATGGATAAGTAAATTGTGGTTGAAATTTTCTCTTTGTTTAAAATCTTGTTTCAGTTAAGATTATGATTAATACAAACAAAGTAAATTACAAACAAAACTAGTTTGGACAAATATTTCAACCAAGAATAAAAGTTCACTCAAACAGCTCAGAAACTAACCGGTTCTGCAAAGTAAGCAAAGGATGCAATGTAGACAGGACTCTCTTTATCCTTGATGTATCCATTGAAGTTCAATGAACACAGCATTGCACCAATAGCCAACAGAAGGACTGGTAAGGTCAACATGAAACTTAAACCATAACGTAGC